TCCTCTCGGGTGCAGAGAAGGAGGTGGACAGAGAGATGGGGTGCCCTGCATTGTTTGTCCCTCCTTTTTATAGTTTCAGTTCCCTATCTTGAAAAACATTTTTAGCTGAGACCCATGAGACAAAGAGTCTATGTGGAAGGATGTTCCAGCTGTTTTTTTCCACCTGTTTGAACTTCCTTTGTTTTTTCTCCCTGCTTGATGGCTCTTTTTACTGCTTAAATGCAAATTAAGGCAAGCACACATTCCTTCCTTTGCCTAGGACAGACCTGACTTCTGCCTGGGCAGGGCAGTAGAACATGTGTTAATAGCATCATACAGGGAAATCTGTACATACAATGTTGCCACACATATTTTATCAGGACAATGCTGACCAGCAAATTATGGGCTTTCAAGGCATACCTTGTGCAAAGATTATTTCGGTAGTTGTAGGATGTAAATACAGGGGCGTATTCTGTTACACAAGCTTTGTGAAAATTGAAATCTATATGCTCTCCTCTACATCTGATCTTAAACACTGCATTAGTAGGTATGAAAAAGAAAGGGAATTGAAGGGGTGACTGTATCCTTAGAAGTCCAAAAGAGCATAACAAGCTTAGCATTGCCTTGTTAGGTGCCAGGGGTTGATGTAAAACAAAGGGAAACCTCAGCTGGCAATGTAGAGCTTCTGCTATGGTTGCCAATCTAAATTCTGCTGTGTAATAGTTGCTTTCTTTCAATAAACCACATCGCTTAATTCAACTGGCTACAGTTGATGTACATGCATCTTTCTCTGCTGAGCAAGCTGGAAATGACAGAAGACAATTTAATTTGTTTTTTTTTTCCTCTTTGTGGAAGCAAATTGCTACAAACACACTCAGATACGCACCCTTGCAGCTTTGTGCTAGATCCCAAAATCTAATTCAAAGCACTTCCATGTGGCCTGACCTGTTCCTGTTTAGCACAGATTTAATCTTGCAGTTTCTGACTACAAGCTGTTGACACAAGAGCATTCCAGTATGTGGAAGCAAGGCTTAAGCAATGAGAGGATATTTTAATGGTGGCATGCTGAATAATCAATTCCACTTGAGCGCATAGATCAATACTATCTCGGAGATGTCTGAATAACCATTTAAAGCAAGCAATATAGGTCCAAGATGGCATGAAAAAAGATGGGGAGAATTATGTTCTTGACCATAGTGCGCGGGGCGTAATGGCCTAGAATGGCACCACGGAAGTGGAAGCAAAAGTTTGGAATAGAGACAAATTTTCTGACTTGGTTTGCTGATCATGACAACTCACGGTAAGAACACTGGAACCAAATCCATACAGTGAGGAAGGCAGGAAGGACTCCCCACATTTTCTTCTTTAAATAGTGTACCTTTATGGGGTACAGTAATTTACTGGGTTACTCTCATTTAAGCTGGACATCTGTTTCACAGGGCTGGTCTACACTACTGCTCAAGTCAATGTAACTTATGTTGCTTAGGGGTGTAAAAAAGACACCCCCCGAGCGACATAAGGTACATTGACCTAAGCACCGTCCACACTGGCGCCATGTCAACGGGAGAAGTGCTCTCACCAACACAGCTTCCGCCTCTCATGGAGGTAAAGTAATTGTCAATGGGAGAGTGCTCTCCTGGCACACTCTTTTTGTGGTCCTAAGTCATGATTTCTGAGTGTTTGGGTTTGGCAATAATGAAATAGCTATAGGGGAAGTTTTCCTCCAATGTCCACTTCCAAAGGCTGGGGAAAGAGGGAGGTTATCTCTTAGCAGCAAAGGTAGCATCTCTTGGTTAGTTTGGAAAGCCTGCCCCCTATGTTTCCTCTGCTTCTGCACCAAAGCTTCTCCACGGTCAGCTGGTAGCTTAGCAGCAGCAAAATGCAGGACAATTTAACATCCTAATACATCTTACTAGGCAATCACAGTACAACAGTTTGTGTTAACCAGGACATTGACTCACCTGGGGTTGGTAGCACCAGCTGCTGTCACTGATCCAGAACTGTAAATAGTGTTTAATACGGCTGCATGGCATTTGTGTGGTTATATGGCACAGTTAAAATGTGACTGGGGCTCACACAACGTTTGGGATGGAGGTTAAATCCCACAGCTCCACTGGATGAGTATTACATTCAGGGGACGTGATTGCTGGGTTTGGGAAATGCCTGTCATTTTTATTTTAGCTTGCCTGTTGTAGTTATTCATTTCCCCCTTTATTTCTCATTGGAAAAATTGGTGACATTTAAGACCGTTTTTAAACTAAACATGTACAGAGGGTCAGGATTTTTCATCACTCAGGATTGACATTTCTTTGCTCTCATTCCATGCAGCAATTGCATTTCTGAATAACTAATTTGAATTAAAAAAAAAAAATCAACCAACCTGCTAAATCCAGAGTTTAGTGGCATGATCAGCGAGAGGCAGGGACAACAACTTGTTATGAGTTTCTAGGAGAGAAGAACTCAAAAGCAACTAAGAGGGAAATCCAAAAACTCTGGGATTAAATTCTTTGCTGGCATAACTTCATGGAGGTTAGTGAAAGTATACCAGCCAAAATATTGGTCCTTTAATGTTGTGCAGAAATGCTTCCCCCCCCCCCCCCCGCTTCTCTCATAGGGGAGGGAGGAACCAGCAAATATGTATGCAAATGTCAGAATTCTCCAGAAATTTCTGCATGGCAAATCTGTATGTGACACTACCATGAAGCTGAGCAAACTTCTAGAGTAGACCTAGGAGTAGAACAGGGGATTCATGCCTGAATTAATGGTAAAGGACCTTAGCCTACATTTCTTGCAAAATCAGAGCATTCATTGATGCCAACAGGAATGTTGGGTGTGCAAGGAATGAAGGATTTGGGCTCACTATGTAGTGGATTAGAGGCATTACTCAACTAGGGTGAGAGGCAATAAGGCCCGTGACAAAAAGTTACAGGGCAGGTGCCGACAGGACCCTTTACTGATCAGGGTGGTCCCCCAAATGTCACAAGGCTCCTAAACAATTCCCACCGAAATCAAAGGAAAGACTCCTATTGACTTTAAGGGGAGTTGGACCAGATCCTAACAGCTGTAGTATTTGCATCCAGGGATACCCCTAGGCTTCACCTTGTGCGTATTGGGAAAGGAAAAGAGGAGGACTTGTTTAATTGGGTAGATTTCCCCCTTTAATTTCCCTTCATCCTTTGGTCTCCATTTTGTGAGAGTGAGGGCAGCATTTAAATCAAAATCAAAACCAAAGTTCCCCTAAGACTTCCTGATCAACATTTGTAAGGTGCAATTTCTATGCCCCCAATGGATGTCTCTGTCTCCCAGTTATCATGGCAGCTGTTTGCTGGATTAAATGGAGAGGTGAAGCAATCCCTTTTATTTGTGTATCCTTTTTTGTTGCAAGCTCCCACTCCTCAAAACAAACAAACCTTCCTCTCTTGGCGGGGAGGGGAAGTATAAAGATGATCTAAAAAGTGTCATGTCTTCCGCTGAGCATTTTGTTTCTTACATTTTCCCTGTGTAATAACATTGAAGTGGCTTCAGCTGCGGTGCTTATCCCAGAGTCCCGGGTGAGCCAAAACTTTCACTGACTTGCACTGGAATGAGGACTCCTGGGTTGTATTGGAGCCTAGGCTTTAGAGTTAATATTTCTCCGAGGAGAAAATGAGGAGAGTTTACACTTTGACTGTGGATATAAGATTAAAATCTCTTGGCAAATAAAATAATTCTTTAGTGTGTTTTGCACAGTATTTAAATGTTTGGAGCTAAAGTCATACACACTTTCTATTGCCTTAGGAAATGAACCAACTTTTAGCTAGTACAAAACAAGATTTTTGCATCTAGTGGAAAACTGCTGACTTTTCTTTAGGTGGAAATCAATGTTTCCACCTGTCCCCCCCCCCAATATTAAAATTTAAAGGCCAATGTTGTCAGCTTTGCTATTTGGTACTTACAGGGCTAGCACTGTAGTAGCTGAGACTGAGTGCCTCTTAATTGCTAACCCAACACTTCTGGCAAATATTACCCCCATTTTACAGGAAGGGGGCAGAGGAACAGGATAGATTAAGTAACTTTCCCAGCATCACACAGGAAGTCTCCTGAACCTCAGTCCAGGGCCCCAGCCTCTAGAGTATAATTCTTCTTGTGACCTCCCTCTTGAGTGCCTCTGACTAGGAGGGACATTTGAGGCTTGCTCCAACAGGGAAACCCCGGGGGGGTTGCTAGCAGGGGTGTTCACACCAGAACATGTTATGGATTTGCAAGGGAGAACCAGCCGCCCATCACCTTTTCCAGTCTCCTTCCTGAAGCGGGCAGCCTGATTCCCAGCCAGAGCCTCTCTGCTTTAAAGGCACCTCCCAGGGCGAGATGGGAACAGAAACGAGCAACTGAGTCAGGGGGCCCAACTCGCCAGCCTGGGGGGGGGGGGTGTGTGTGAGGCGGATGGGTGGGGGTTGGGAAATGCTTAATGCAGGGAGCCCCTTTTGCTAGAGCCAGGCAGGGCAGCGGCAGCGGCTCCACCCGCCCCTCGGTTGGCAAGATTTGCAAAGCTCTTTGCAACCCCGGATTCCTGGAGCTGCAGGGGGAGAATCCTGCCCCCCCCCCCCCCCTGCCCCCCGCCCACACACACACACACACACACACGCAGCCGGCACGTGGGCGCTGCTGCTGTTTGCAGCCAGCCTAGCGCCTGCCCTCCCAGTGTTTGCCAGGAGCCCGGCAAGCCAGCGCCGGGAGTGAGCGCCAGAGAGGAGGGGGACCCCGGGCAGCGAGAGGGGGGCTCAGTGACCGGGACCCCCCCGCCCCAGCCCATGCGTGCCCCCCCGAGCGAGCGCGCCTGCCAGGCAAAGCCCCGCTGCCCCCCGGCCTGAATGCATGTAGGCGCCGGCTGCATGGCCGCTCCGGGGAGGATGCTCGGGCTCTAGGCACCGGCCCCTGCCCGCGGCCCCAGGAGGAGAGCTCGCCCCCTCGCCCCCCAGGCATGCTCTCCTAACGGGGCTGGCGACGTCTCTCTCGCTCCTTCCCCATGGAATTAGCTGCGGTCGCCGGCCGGAGCTCGTGAGCCTGGGCTGCCCGCCGAGCGGGGCCGGCCCCCGGGGTGAGTACCGCGCCGAGCGCCCGGGCTCCCTCGGGCGAGAGAGCGCTGCCCGGCCGGGCGGGCGGCTCCCCGGTTCCCGTCCCAGCCCGCCGCGTGGCTTGGACACTTGAGGAAGTTTTTGCCCGCCCGGCGTTAGCTTTGCAGCCTCCCTCACAGGCACCCGGGGGTGCTGCTGGGAGGGAGGCTAGGGGCTCTCGGAGGGTGGGCTCGGCATCCCAGCCGCCTCCCTTGGCGTCGCGGCAGAGCCAAGTGCGCTGCCCCCCAGCAAATCTCAGCCTGGCTTTCCCGGCACCCTGCATCCCCTGGCAGACCCTTCGCGATAGCCCAGGTGGGGCTGTGCCTTAACAGGTCTGGAGCAGGGGTACAGGGACCCCCAGAGAGCTTCCAGCGGGGACCGCCGCTCATCTAGGGATCTGCCTGGCTTTACAGCAGGCTCCATGAAAAGCACCAGCCAAGTCAGGGCAAACTAAAATTTCATACAGACAATGACGTGTTTCTCCTGCTCTAGATGCTGTACACTGACAGGCAAATACACATATCGATATGGATTTGTTGGATCATGATGTGGGGAAGATGAGAAAGTCAGCAATTGTTCGGCACCGGTGTGGCGGTGACACTTTTGTATGCTTAGGTCTGATTTTGTAAGCAAGTCGTTTTTTAAAGGAGGTGAATCTTGGGGGCATGCAAGACAAAGCAGGCTCCTGAAAGGGGGCCGGTAGCCTGGAAAGGTTGGGAGACACTAGAGCATAGGGTCTACTTTGCTAGTGATCAGTGGAGACAGTGCAGGAGAGAAGTAGACTGCAGAATGGAACTCATTAGAGGCAGGTCATGCAGGCTGAATATTAAAAGTGTGTGTGTGAGTGTCAGTCAGAGAGATTTCAGAGTAGCAGCCGTGTTAGTCTGTATCCGCAAAAAGAACAGGAGTACTTGTGGCACCTTAGAGACTAACAAATTTATTAGAGCATAAGCTTTCGTGGGCTACAACCCACTTCTTCTTCTTCAGAGAGAGAGAGAGTTGGCAGTGGAGGAGCAGCAGGTGAAATGAGTCAGGGGTGGGGCTGAAGTCCCTGTCAATGGGAAAACTCTTGTACCTTGACACACAGCAAGGGACGCATGGCTCTGGTTATTTCAGCCACTGCACAGCTTTTGGAAGGATGAAGCAATGGTTCTGATTGGCTTGGCAGTGACCAACAGGTGATGTGTTGGCAACTGATCATTCTGCGTTCCTCGGCGGCAGTGCGGGGGGAAAGGGTTCTGGATTGACACCTGCCACTGCTTTTATGTAGTATCTTGAATGGACAAGGAGATGTGTGCTTTCCCTTCCGATTGACTTGTTCTAGGCTGTGTGCTGTCCAGATGTCATTGTCCTGATGGTGTGATGCGAACAGCAAACTCCCCGTTGAATCACTTCAATTGTTTTTGCAAGGATGACATGAACTTCAGAGCTGCGGAGACGCCATTTAGATGGAACAATAGAAGATTGCAGATTGGTGTCTTATAAAAGTAATGTGTGTTTTTTCCTTGTATCGCACAAATGTATCCAATAGGTCTAGGGAGAAGAATGGACTTTGAATCATGAACCACAGAATTTCAGGAGCTTGTTGGTTTGCATTGATACAACACTTAATAATTTTTTGGTGACTTTTCTGAAAGTGCAATGGCTATTCTAGCAGATACTCTTGAATCTGTAGCAGTAAGAATGACTATTGAAGTGCCTTTATTTTAATTTCATTTGTAAATTCAAGATCTAAAAGGTAAAAAAGCTCAAATACTATAATCATGTGGTTGTGCAGCCCCTAACTCCCTTGAGTCAGTTGTCTTCTATTAAGTCAGCTGTTGAAAACACACCCATTCACATGATGGTATCTCAGATTTTTTTGGAGGGGGGGGGAAGGGGAAGGGTTCAAATTCAGTTGTACAGATTAAACCAAATTTAATTGCTTAATATTGGGCAAGGTTGATAAATGAACCACTAAATCAGCACCTACGTGGTGTCTCATTGAAAAGAAAAACAAGCAATTCTGAGCCATATTTGGGCAGCGTAGGTCAGCCACAAACAGCTTTCTGAACTAGATACGCATGCTAGCAGGCATGCCTGTTCTGTGATGTGATATACAGGTAAGCATAGAAATCTGCTCACATGACCTGCACTCCAGGAGCATGTTCTGTAAAGGACCCTATATAGTCAGTTCGTGTAAACTGGTATAGCTCCATTAACTTCAATGGAGCTACCCTGCTTTACACCAAATGAGTATCTGGTCCCATATTTCTAGCCGCCTTGCTTAGAAAGAGCTTTTATTTTGAGTCTTAGTAGAGGCAAAATGATATTGACTTGAGAGAGATAAGAGGTGTCATTTTGGCTCCGTACAATCAAGATTGGGTGTAGTAAAGGAGACTCATCTGTCAGAAGTACATTATAAAAACAGCTTCATTTCTAATCTCTTTAATTAGAGCAGATACAGATGTTACAATATTCTGTTTTGCCATTGGAAAATGGGCTTTGTCTTAAGTTCTTAAAAGTTCTCACAGTGGAATATAAAGAAGAGTTTGACTTTATTCACACTTGCTATTTGTAGCTTCCAGTAATTTTTACTGTTCGGTCTTAAGAATCATGGATTGTATAGTATTAATGTATTCCCTTTGCAACTGTTATTAATTTCTCTGTTATCTGCAAAGACTTTCTTTGCAAAAAAAAAAATATATTTTTTGGGAAAAAAAGTTACCATGACAATTTTCTTGTTTTGCCAACACTCAGTGTTACAAACAATGTATAGAGCTGATAAAATGGGGGGAGATTTGTCAAAGGCCCAAAGAGGAGTTAGGTTCCCTGACTTTCACGGGGAATGTGACTGTGGTGAGCAACTGCACCTGAACCAGTGCTCTGATCACTGCAACGCCGAATGGTTGCCCTGCAGCACACCTGACTATGAGAATTGTGCCCAGTTGATAGATTGGGATGGGCTGGAGAGAATTAAAAGGCTAATTAACTCATTAGCCCAAATGGTAGAAAGGACACAGGAAGGCAGCACAAAGTTGGCTTTTAGAGCCAGAGCCATGAGAGAGCGCTCCCCTCCTTGCCTTAGGAGTGGAGGGCTCCGTGTTACTGTTGAGATGAGGCTACATAGTGTATAAAGGCAGTGGAAAAGAACACTGTAAACAAATTGCACAAGGTGTTGTGCTAGAAGACGGTCTCCCAGCGTTTTGTGGGGCTCCAGGGGAGGGAGGAGTGAGTCTGCTCTGCTACAGGGATGCAAGCATGTACGTTCCCTTGCTGATTTAGAAAATCTCAATACCTCAGAATAGAGCAAGAAAGAAATCCTACAAGCTTTCGGGCAACCAGTGTCTCCCGTTCAGATGTTTGTTTGCTTTCCTTATAACATACCTATAGTGCTCGAGTGGCCATGATGTACGTTGATACAATACACATGCGTTATAAAGGGGGTGCGTTAAAAAGTGCTTGATGGAGAGAGATAAAGAGCATATTGTACGCAGTGGCACAGATGGGTTGTGCCTGACCCTCAGAAAGAGGAAGGTTCTGTATATGGAGATGCCTTTATATATCTATAGTATGTGATGGGACCTTGTCCTCTCTTTCTTGTGAGCTAATACATCTCCAGATGTTCTCTGTGCGTCAACAAAACCCAATTATAACTAAATAAAAACTAGTCTAATTGCCCTTAAAAATCAGTATAACACTTCCTTAACTGAAAGATTGTTATATGCTTTATACGGTTATTTTGTTGTCTTTCTTGTCATTTTTCTTTGAAATCGTAATGCATTCTTTTGCTACTTTGCTACCGGTAAATGGTAACTCTATGCTGGGCTAATCTGAGAAGGAACTGATATTTCATTGAACTGTTTTGATGACTTTGGAAGAAGTATATTAGGGACTAATGTGCATTGATAAAACCTCTGGGGCACATATCTGGCATTGAAGCTTTTTAGGGGAAGATTACTTTCCAAGCCATCTACTTCTGCCTTTATTACTCCTGAGGGAATTCTGTGCCTAAGAAATTAAAATTCTGCGTGCACTATTTTAAAATTCTGCAAATTTTATTTGTCAATAAATACAGGGGCATGTTGGGGAATTCCGGGTGCAGGGGCAATTGAACTCTGCAGGGGGGGTCCAGATGAAGGTGGTCGGGACTCAGCAGGGGAATTTAGGTGTACGACGTTTGGCATGAGGGTTCAGGTGTAGCTGGTTGGGGCTTGGTGGGGTGGGGATCTGGGTGCCAGGGGCTCGTTGGGGTGGGACTCGTCATGGTGGGGGTTCAATGGGCCTGCTTAATGGGGGAGCCCCTGCTGCTGCTTCCGTGTGGATGCCACATGCCAGGCTCCCAATTCCCCAATCCCCTTCTCTTTCCCATCCCATCCCCTTCCCCACTGTCTCCTGCCCCTATCTCCTTCCCCTCACTCTTATATCCCCCTCCCCCTGCCCTATCCCACTGCATCTTCCAACCCCCCCCCCCCTTTTCCCCATTTCCTCTGCCCCCTCTTGCCCTGCCCCCCCACGGGCACTCACTGTTGTACAGAAAACAGGATGACTCTCAGCACACAGGAGGGTAGGACGTCTGGCGCTAGGACCCAGGAGGTGGTGTCCGGCTGCAGACTCAGCGAATTGAGCAGCATCCTCCTTCAGCTGGGCAGCTCTGCGCCCACAGAAATGCAGGGGTGGGGAGGCAGTGATATGTGATCCTGTGTGGTCCCTATGCCTTGCGCTCACAGAAATGCGGGGAGGAGAGGGGGGCACGAGAGGCAGTGGTATGTGATCTTGTGTGGTCCCTATGTCTTGCCTTTGTTTTGGGGGCAGTGCTCCCGCAAACAACACCCATGGGCGTCCCCAGCTCCCCCTCCCTCCCTTTGCTTCCGTGTCATTTTCTGCGGGGAAGCAAAGAAATATGCATGAGGACGTGAATTCTACGCATGCACAGGGGTGCAGAATTTCCCCTACAGGGGTGCAGAATTTCCCCAGGAGTACTTTATTTCATGTGTGAGAAGTT